CTGTTAGGGTTTCGGATTTAGGGTTTTAGGTTCCATAAGGGTTTAGGGTTTAGGTTAAAGGTTCTATAAGGGTTCAGGGTTTAGGGTTTAGGTTAAAGGTTCTATTAGGGTTTAGGGTTTAGGTTAAAGGTTCTATAAGGGTTCAGGGTTTAGGGTTTAGGTTAAAGGTTCTACAAGGGTTTAAGGTTCTATAAGGGTTTAGGGTTTGTGGGTTCCTTTAAAGGGTTCCTCTAAAGGTTCTACAGCGGTTTAGGGTTTAGGGTTTGAAAAGCAAGGAACATGAAGGGATTCATATGGCGGCTTGGGGTCCACATGTAGTCTAGGGATATGTCGTAGCACAACCAGATATAGACAACACGAAGTATTCAGAGCCTCATCTGGGGGCTGGGGGTTGAGAATCGAGCGGTTCAAGATCCCTTCAGAAGGAAGTACTACTAGCGTAGTGTCATGCAGACGCCTGAACAATGGGTCGCAATGTTCTTTGGTTCCCTACTTCCAGTATACTATGAAATGTTACTCAGGCACTTTGTATACTAGGGTCTGGGATTCTGGTTTTAGGGTCTGGGGCTTAGGGTGTAGGGACTAGGCTTTAGGGGTTCGTGCTTGGGGCTTTGGGCTACGAGGCTTTAGATATACTTGACAAGCATAAGGAACAAGTCTACGAATCACATGTGCGATGTGGGAGGCTACACCGCTTCTAGCAAACTCTGCTAAGTAAAAGCAGTGTTAGTCTTGTTTTTATCTCTCACTTTGATATTTTTGTTCGTCGTTTAGGCGAGCAGCTTGGCTTTGGCTTTAAGCATCCATCTGGGAGCTCTGAAAGACGTTTTGGGGATATGTGTTTTAGATTTGGGTGCCTTAGTATATAACTGGAACAAGTCTAATTCTGATAAGGAGCCTTCAAGAATAGATGATTAGGGCTTGGGGGTTTAGGTGTTTAGGGTTTAGGGGTTTAGGGGTTTAGGGGTTTAGGGGTCTAGGGTTTAGGCTTTAGGGTTTAGGGGTGTCACCAACAAGACCTCAGGCGAAGACCGACAGTCTCTGGGGCTGCGGCCGTAGGGTCGGATGGTGCGGGGCTTGGGATCTAGTGCATAGATAAAAGCCTCATAAGATACCAACTGCACTCCTCCTGAATCCTAAACCCTAAACCCTAAACCCTAAACAGCTTACAGTTATTTAGTATAGAAGCCTCGTAAAATGCCAAGTTTACTCCTCGGAGTTCCCTCTCAGTTTAGGGTTTCGGGTTGTCTATACCCCTATAAACCCTAAACCCCCAAAGCCCTATTCCAAAAGTCTGAAAGCCCCTTTTCTACGGGCTTGTGGGGCTTGGCGTTCCTTTGCATCCGGATTTGAGGCTTTTGAGATTCTACTTAGGGTTTCGGGTCTAGGGTTTAGGGTTCAGGGCTCCTACATCGCCCCACTCGGGGCCGAGTTGGATGTATAGAACCACATGAAGAGGATGCGTACCGCAATGAATGCAAACGCAAAGCACACAGCCAGGCCCCGCGCTTTATTGGCGAGGAGATTGCCTTGAAGTCATGTTCTCACGTCACACCCTCTGCTTGCAAAACGAGACAACAAATCGCTTCGGATAGAGGGTTCTGCGGTTGCACACAGATGCCCTACGCATCCTGGATGGTACTTCGAAGTAGCTAGGACCTCACGGCCTTCGTATGTAAGAGCCCGACGCTTTGCCCATCAGGCGGTGGAGGAGGAGGAGGAGCTGCCATGGCTTCTGTAGTGGTGATCCCACTGACAGGAGGACGGCGCAGGATCCGGGCCGTGGAAAGCTCTAGGCTCCCTGACTTTGATCTTAGTTCGTGGATGTGCCCCGTAATTCACCGTTTAGGGACCGTTTAGGGTTTAGGGTTTAGGGTTTAGGGTATCAACCACCAGCTCCCTCGACTGAAACTCTGAGCATCAGGTCTTGAGGGGAGCCGGCGGCACATCGCACTAGGCCGCTCACCATCGACAAAGTTTCGGGCTCCCCATGCATAGCACATGCCGGGAGCTAGTCTGAACTTCCGGCGCTTTACCTTCTTTTCGGCAAGGTCAGTGAAACATCCCAGTCCTTCAAAGCCGGGATCACTAAAAGTGTATGCCTTGGATCACCTTGGCGTGGTTTTCTTAACACAGGAAGAGCAATGCGAGCAAAGGACAGCTTGGGACCCCGCGGATCGTTCAGCCAGTATGGGCTGACGGGAATTAACTCGGGCATCGATGGATGCGTCGCAGACTCATCGTCCTCACCAGGAGCTGTGTCGGGCGCTGGCTGCGTGGGCTCCTCTGCAGCCTTCGGCTCCTCTGCAGCCTTGGGCTCTGTCTTGGGCTCCTCTGCAGCCTTGGGCTCCTCTACCTTGGGCTCGTCTGCAGCCTTGGGCTGCTCTGCCTTGGGCTCTGCAGCCTTGGGCTCCTCTGTGTTGGGCTCCTCTGCAGCCGTGTGCTCCTCTGCAGCCTTGGGCTCCTCTGCCTTGGGCTCTACCTTGGGCTCCTCTACAGCCTTGGGCGCCTTAGGCTGCTCTGCAGCCTTGGGCTCCTCTGCCTTCTTGGGCTCTACCTTGAGCTCCCCTGCCTTGGGCTCCTCTACCTTGGGCTCCTCTGCAGCCTTGGGCTCTGCAGCCTTGGGCTCCTCGGCAGCCTTGGGCTCCTCGGCAGCCTTGCTCTCCTCGGCAGCCTTGGGCTCCTTCGCAGGCCTGAGGTGCTGGTGCCACGGCGCGAACGCAGTTTGTACCTCGTGCTGCCAGGTCATGGAGAGTCCGAGGCCCTAGACACTAAACTCAATAGTTAAACTCTAAACGAGCTGAAGAGGGAACCGGCTCACCACATCACACGGTTTAGGGTTTAGGGTTTAGGGTTGACCACATCCAGTATCTGTGAAACCAAGATGCATAGGGCGCCACCGGAGTTCGCTCGACTGGAGGTTCGGGGACATGCCGGGCGCGTCGGATCATCTTGACGCACCTGTTTGCCATAATACACCCCAAACTCCCCGTACTACTACGGTAGATGGGGAGTTCTCTAAATCAGGGTCCCTTTTGGGGTCCCTATTATAAGGGTGCCGTACTATATTGGGGACCTAAAAGGGACCCTAATTTAGAGAACTACCCGAATATCTATTCCTCAGGGGCTGAGTACCCTAGCCCCAAAAAGGTTAACCTTTCGAATTATAGTAGGAATATGAGAGCCCCAAAAGGTTAAAGGTTACCTACTCAGCCACTAAGATTCTAAGGATTAACGTCCCAGGGATTCAGAACTTGCAAATGGGATCCTGTCGGCCTTCGGAGCCCTGTTGGGGTTTAGGGTTTAGGGTTTAGGGTTGAGGGGTTGGGAGTTCAGGGTTTAGGGGTTTAGGGTTTAGGGTTTAGGTTTGGGGGTTTACGGGTTTAGGGTTTAGGCTTAGGATTTTGGGAGTAGGGGCTTAGAGTTTAGGGTGTAGAGGCTGAGGGTTTGTGGTTTACAGGCTTTCTGTGGGAGCTCCTCTCAATAAGGTCCCTTTTAAGAGAGCCAAAAGTAGGGTTCAGAAGGGGTACCCTTTAAGGGGTACCCCTAATAATACTACCTATTCTGGTGACAGCCAGGGTCTGAACTTCACTGATGCTGGCGAAGGTGCATCGACAGCATGCTCATTGTCGTCTCTGGCGCCGGCTCCTCGTAGATATCAAAACCTAGGCCTCGGCCAAGAAAAACATTGCCGGTACAAATTTCAAACCGATGAAAAAGCTGCAGAAGAAAGCACGGAAGCGCAACAAGCATAACTTGAAACAGAGAGAGCGAGAGAAAGAGAGAGCGAGAGAGAGTGAGAGCGAGCGAGAGCGAGAGAGAGAGAGAGACAGAGAGAGAGCGAGAGAGAGCGAAACGGGGAGAGAAAGGGATAACTACAAGAGGACGACAGGATCCTAACAAAGCATTTCCCTCACTCGCAAGATCGGTACACCCTAAACCCTAAGAACTAAGCCCCAAAACCCCGTGCGGCCCGAGCATCGGAAAAAGATCTGTTGCGCTCGCGAGTTCAGATACAACACACGCAAGACCACGGACTCGAAAGCCCATCCCACTCTCAATGCCTGGACGGGAGGTACCGGTAGGGCTCTATGATCATGACATGTTCCGGGATTCGTAGGCAAGCTCAGGTACCCCACGCATGGATAACCATGTTACTAAGTCCCATGATCCTTGAAGAGGGTCCGGGCGCTCAACGCTTGTTAGACGTGGCATACACAGACTCTACTGCTCAGGCATGCTCTTGAGCTTGCATCTATGAGCACGGGGCTCGGGGCTTCATGCTCCATCGACTTCTGAGGAAATTCTTATTAGCCCTGGTGCCAAAACCCTAAACCCTAAAC